CGACCGACCGAAAGGTCGTAAGGTACGTGAAAAATCGCTGGGTATTCGACGTCCAAACTGGCGGTCGAAAGAAAGCTAGACTTGTTGCGAAGGGCTTTTCTCAAGTTGAAGGTGAAGACTTCGACAAGATCTTCTCCCCAGCTGTGCGTTTTGAGACAGTTCGTCTTATTATCGCCCTAGCCGCACTCGAGGATTGGCATATCTCCAGCCTCGATCTGCGGAGTGCCTACCTCTATGGCAAACTGAATGAAGAGATCTATATGGAACAGCCGGAGGGCTTCCGCAAACCTGGCACCAAGCATAAAGTCTTTAGACTTAAACGTGCTCTCTACAGATTGAAACAGGCAGGATTAGCTTGGTGACGAACACTGTCTGAATCCATGCAGTTGATGGGTTTCAAACGACTCAGCAACAATGCAGGTGTCACAGTTTTCTCGTGCCACGTGACCTGGGGGTCATGTGTACTGGGACAGACGCTCACCTTGACCACGGACAACTCATATCGGAAAGTGGAGGGGCCAGGATCGAACCCCAGACCTCGTGACGGCCAGGAGCGCCCATCCTCACTCACAGGCAGGTGACTGATGTGACAGCAGGAGCGCTTACTCATTGGGAAGTGTCCGGACTCGGCACGACTCAGGATTAGTCGTAAGGTCACCATGAGGCAGGTCAGAGGGTAGGACATGAGGCAGAGAACTCTGACCAAACGATGGTCAATAGGTACCTGGTCTGTGCACTGTTGTATTAGTATATATAGTAGGGGGTCTGAGGCAGGGAACCTCAGACTTGATCTTCTCGTCGATCCCCCATCTCCTCTGTAGGTAGCTAGCAGCCCTACCTTCTACTGCCCCTTCTAGTCTAGGGAATTCACATCTTTGCATCATATCTTGCTGTGTCACTTGTGGTTGCTTCGCTCTCAGCACCAACCCCTTCACCAGTAAGCTTTGTCTTTGTTTACCTGGTGGCACAGCTCATTGGCTGTGACAGCAGGCCTGTACATCTACAAGCGCCAATCTGATGGGCAGCTAGTAGTTGTCATCGTCTATGTAGATGACGCTCTCTTTTGTGGGAAAGACAAGAAGCTTGTAGCTCAGCTTAAAGCTCGCTTCATGCGCAAGTGGGAATGCCGCGATCTCGGCGATGCAAAGGAATTTCTGCGTATGCGAATCGTGCGCAAAGGCCGCAGTACCCACTTGGATCAATGTGCCTATTTGGAGAAAGTACTAGAACACTGCAACATGTTGAATGTGCAACCAGCTCCAACACCACTTTCTGCGGGTTACATACCTGCACCCAACAATGAACAAGCACCACCGGAACTTTGTTCACGGTTTCAAACAGTTATTGGATTCTTGCTCTACTTGATGCTTGGTACCAGACCAGATCTGGCATTCGCCGTGACCAAACTAGCACAGTTTGCGTCTAACCCATCTGAAGAACACCTTAATCGTGCACTCTATATCTGCCGATATCTAGTCGGAACCAAGGATTACTCCCTAGTCTATGACGGTGCTTCACAGTCAGGCCTTGTCGCCGGTACTGATTCAGATTGGGCCTCTGATCCCAACTCTCATCAGTCACAGACCGGTTTCTTCTTGAAACTAGCAAATGGGATCTTCTCATGGCAATCACGAGCACAAAAGACCATTGCTCTCTCTTCTACGAAAGCTGAGTACATGGCAATGAGCGATTGCAGTCGCCAAGTGGTCTGGGTTCGCAATCTACTTGCTGAACTTGACTGCCATGTCGATCACATACCTCTATCCGGAGACAATCAAGGATTGATCTTCATTGCATCGAATCCTGTGACGGAGTCAAGGTCAAAGCACATTGACATTCAATATCACTATATCTGTGAGGTGCATGATAAAGGAATCGTTGATGTCTTCTATATAGATGGAAACGACAATCCTGCGGACATCTTTACTAAGAACCTTGGTGTAGTGAAGTTCTTGAAATTTCGCTCACAACTTGGTCTCCGCTTTCCAAAGTCCAGAGCTGCTTAAAGTGCCTGCTACGCTTGCGTAACCATTCAGATACTTAGTGAGGGGGAGTGTTGAACAGGCGCTGGTTTACACAGCTTGCCTAACACAGCCGTCACAAGATATGGAATGGCACAGCCGGTTACTGCAATAACCGAGGCTGTACTACTCATGTGGTACACACACAGCTTTGCTGTGTACACACTGCTTCTTTGTAAGACTGTGCATCCTGGGAATGTACTGTATAGTACTTCGTAGCCACAGATGTACAGTAGTATATATAGGGGACCTCTGTACCCTCAATCTACAGTTCAGTTCACTCAAACATCTCCTCTCATCGCTTTAACAAGCCTCTTACAACCAACAACCCTTCTAGGTGAGTTGCAGGCTATCCGCTGTCATTGCCACCCGTGGGAGAGGCTTTCGCCCCCTGGGTTCAATATGGAGACTCTAGTTTTGACCTCTTGTCCTCAGGTAAACCAGTATACATTTTGCTCTGTAAATACTTTGCTCAATACACTACTTGTCTTCAGTCCTATCTGTTGAGCTCTGCTCCAGTCTCACTGTGATCAGAGTCTGTTGGTGCTTCTGCCTGCCTCACTTATCTTCTTCTACTCACTTGACAGTCAGTCGTAACAAGCAAGACTACACAGGATCAAGTAAATGACCACAACTTATGAGATATAAATAAAGAAGTGAAGAAGTACTCACTTTTCAATTAGTAAGGAAAGACTAAAGAGTGAGCACAAACTCTAGAGTCTTTATATACTATAGAGAAGAGTCTATAACCAAGCCAAGAGTGGCTAGTCACATGTACTAAGATGTGATGAATCATACAACAAGAAAAGTATTACAATGTATTGTACCATAGAATGAGTTGAGTAAGACATAGAATACTTAAGATGTTCTGGAGCAGTATAGATTGTCTTAGATAGTATCAGAAGAGTCTAAAAGCATAGCTATATTGAGCAGAGAGTCTGGACCAGATAAATCTGTTTCACATAATGTTGAACACTCCAATAGTTGTCCATGTAACTCTGATGATTGACTAAACTGTAAGATTCAACTTGATTTGTTGAGTACTAAGATGCCGCCAGATTTGACCAGAAATTCCACAATTATGTCCACCACTGGCCTGCTACCACATTTTGTCTAGTAGTGTAGGTGATCTATATCTATGAGTCATATACCCACAATTTGGATGCAGGACTAGGTCAAGTCTATCTGCAATAACCATACAGCCTCATCAGATTTTCTGTCCAGCATCCAAGATCTCCAGATGCTATGTGTCGTGGTGACTAGGCGCGTAGACTCAGGTCGACGTTCGGTGACGACCCCGTGGGCGAGCGGCAAGGAGCCGAAAGGGAAAGAGAGAGAGGAAGAGGGATAAACGTGACAGAAAACTCGACAAGGGCAGAGCAGAGGTCGGCACGAAGGCACAAGATCTACGAAAGCTAGTCTTCACGCAGACAGCGACAGACTAGTCCCAATGACCAAGTTATACATTAGCACTCGAAGGGAAATACAACGCTATGGCCACTCACCTAGTCCCAATGACCAAGAGGTCAAAATGGGGACTAGGGAGCGCCTAAGGGGGTCCTTATATACTAGAAGGGCTGCTTAGCAACCAAGGACAAGGCGCGAGAGCGAGGCAGTGAAGATGACAAAGGGAGAACAAAGGGCGAGAAGAAAAAGGTAAAGGCATGGCGATCACGGGAACGTAGCATGCGGCTGTGGGAACGTATCTGCAGTGTCCAAACTGGGATGGGCTAAGAAAGGAAATGGTCCGAAAATGGAAGGTGGGCGTCAAGGGGAGGGGAATGGGCGGCAAAAAGGGGCGTCTGTCCAACGTCCGTGACAGCAGGGACGCAAGGGCTTTGACGACGTGTGTTTGGTGTGGCGGACCAGGTTGTTCTTGTTCATTGACTTGGCACTCATGCCACCGGCAGGCGGCCTTGCGCATAGTGTCCTCTCCATTGTCTGTATGCATTCAATAGAGCCACGTAGCTAACATGCATCTTGTTTCTGTGTAGTGCATTCATCGGTCCGCACTCTCCCTCACTCTACGTCTCTGCGGTGCTTGC